ACGATAATATTGTCGCGTCATTATCGCGTCGCGGGGCGATCGATCGACAAACAGCGGATGCCGATAACAAGTGTCCGCGGCGCGCGTACCCGCTGTTGTTGCCGTCGTGCCCGGGACCCGGCGGGCGTGTGCGGCCGACACGCGAATAAACGCCGTCGAGTTTTCCGGCGGGCGTGTTGTGCGACGCGACGGCCGCGCGTAAATTACGCGTAAAACGGCCGAAACGCGTGTGCGTGTGACGCGCGGGCGCCGCAACGTTACGCGGCGAAGTGATAGACAACACGTGTGTGCCCGCGTAACTACTCCCGCGCGCGTACCGTACCGCAGCGTCGTTATCTGTGCGTACGCGATATCGTTATTATTATTATTATTATTGTCGTTATTGTCGTTATTGTCGTTATTGTATTCCGACCGCGGATACGCACGCGCGAATAAATCACCGTGCCCCACCCCCCCCCCCCCCCAAACCCCAAAGACCGCGGTCAACACGGGCCTGCGCAATATGACGTCACACGGGCGCCCGGGCGTGTTATTATTATTACTATTACCGTTGTAATGCGGGGCGGTTAAAGCCATCCGTTTTGTCTGCTGCACCCGAACGTTTTGACCCCGCGTTGTTATTGTTACTCTCGAACTGTGGCCGGGGTGGCGGGGAAGGTGCGAGGGGCGGGGGTGGAGAGGCGGGCACGGGGTGAACGCCCGTGAGCTCTAGCCGTCTAGCAGTCGATTATTTTTCCGCCCCGCTCGTTTTCCGTTGTTACACAGCTGGACCTGGCCGACTCAACCGAACGCTCTCGAACGATAATATTCCGTACGAAACTGGCACTATTATCGGTGGGGAAAAAAAAAAAAAACTCCACGAAATTTGATCGTAAATATACCGTGGTTCGCGTCCTCGATACACCGACGTCGCGCGCATACGAAATCGCGTTTCCTCCCCTCCCCCCCCCCACCCGGGACGATTCGTAGAGGAGGTCTGTCTATAGGGGTGTGCAAAAAACGAAAAAAACACCCGCAATCACGCGACAACGCGGTTAATAATTCACCTTCTCGCACCACATCGACCGTTCTTACCGGAAATCCATGTCGACGGTTCGAGTCTGCGAAAACTGAAAGTTGTTTTTTGGTTTCGGTGTATTCGGTACCAAAGTACCGAAACGCGCGTTTATTCGGTTTTTTTTTTTTTTTCTTCCCGTTTCCCATTTCCCATTTACCGATCGGCGAACCGCCCGCAACGCTCGCATACCGCCCGCCGTCCGCCGGTCGCCTATCGCGGCTCAAGTGCGCGGCCCGAGCGGGTTCGGAATTCTCGAAAACGTTTTCGAGCGCTCGGTTCGACACGAACAAACCAACGTCCGGCCGCCCGGCTCTCCGCGGTTTCGATTGCCGACACGCGCGGACAAGCCCGAGAAATTGAACGTCGTGTTTGAATGCCGGCGTTCGGTTCCGTCGGTTCCGTCGCGTTCGCACTGCGGCGGAAACGATTCTCCGCTCGGTCCGCGAACACTGTCGTGTCGCCGCGAAAATTCCCCCACGCGTTTCTCCCGTCGGAACGATGGGGGCGACAAGACGGCCGCCGCGTGACTGCCCGCCGACCGTAATGTTCCGTGTCATCCGCGTTCGATGCGCGCATTTCGAAAACGCGAATACCAAAGGCGTACCGCGTTTCGCACAGTGCGGCGTGTCATAATAAAATGCTGTACGCTCGACCGGGCTCTACGATAGACACGGGTGTACTACTGCTGCAAGAGCACTGCTGCGTTTTGCAAATGGTCGCGACAAAACCGTAAATCACGACCGAACATTCGTACCGATCGCTATGACGGCCGATATCGTTTTTAGATTCTGCGAGTGAACTATTGCCGGGGAGCAGGGGCCGCGGTAGTTAACGTCTCTAAAATACGCGATTTTTTTCGCTCCCCCCCCTCCCCCTTCCTCAGCACCGCCGTCCCGGGGACGATTCATCGGTCGGTGTAGACGCCTTCGATATTTCCACGTTGTATTTCAAAAGCCGCGGTGGGTAACCGTCACGGGAAACTTTTTACGAAATTACCAATAGTTTTACTAAAAATAAAAAAATTGAAAAAAAACTCGGTTGTGTTTCTGCGGATTTCCGGACGGTCCAATACGACAATACGGGAAAACGACACGACTGAAATAACCTCACCGCGGTTTACCGAGTGCCGCTCAGAATCGGTTTACGGTTTTCGATTGCAATGGCCGAACGTTGCTTTACCAGTATAATGTACGAACTGAACCGCCCGTTCGTTGCACACCCAACTTAACAGTTCCCATCAACAATGCGCAATGGTCTAACGCGGTGGTCCGAAGAATTTGTTTTTCTGTTTTTATCAGTGTGGTGTTTTTTTCGAGTCGACAATTTTTCCCGCGGTATATTAACAGGTATGGGTAATATTTTTTTTTTTGTAGGATAGTAAACAGAGGAATATTATTATTGACGTTAATGTGTTTAAACGCCTCGCAACGGAGAGGTTCGCGTGTATAAAATTGAACCTGCGACTATACACACAGTCTTACGGACGTTATAAACGCAACACATAGATGTTTTAAGGGGAACGACGTGTTGTTATGGACAACAGGAAAGCGTTGGATTTTGTTCTTACGATTATAATTAAAAGTTTGTGTTTCGTGAACGTACTCGTAAAAATTAATCGTTACTGCAGTGGGTATATACCCATATTAAAACGAGTTAAGTACTATGATAGGTATTATTTTAACATTTTGAACGAATATTAATTTTACAAGTTTCACATAATATCGCTGCGATATAAATTAAAAATATACCTGCATATTTTTTTTACGCAACAATCTTGTTTTAATAGGATTAAATTAATTTTTCCGGGCTATTAGTTCGTTGTTTTTTTTTTTTAATGTATCCGAGAGGTGCGAGAAATATCGGTTTAACTGCGATGTGTACTTTTTATTTTTTTTTTTTTACGGTTTTTTTTTTTTTGCTTGTATGTTAAAGACTTTTGTTTTTGCTCGGTCGGTGCATTACCGGAGGTAATTTTACACGCGGTTTTCTTAATAATCGAAAAACTCTGAAAAGTCAGTGGCAAATAACGGTTTAAATGTTTTTGATTTTATTATTTTCGTTTTTTTTTTTTCTGTAACTCGCTTTTTAACAATCGTTGATAGCGGAAATTTTCACATTATAACTTATATTGGACTTTTCTAGACGCGGTGATTTTCGAGTAAACAACGGGCGTTTGCAATTTTCCGAATATTAATGTAAACGTTACTGTATTAATAAAATAATAAAGTAAATACAAAATAAATAAACGAAAGAATACGTCGCCCGGAGTGTAATGATAATTGCACTGTACAGGCCGGTTTCGAATTGAAACGCGACTGAATATATAAAAAAAAAAAAAAAAAAAACGCACACATCGGTCTTTTTACACAGAAATAATTTATTTTAATAGCAGAGATTATTTAAAATGGGTTATTATTACACATAGATATGTCGGACAATATAAATTACTCGGTTATTATTTATTATCTAAAATGTATTGATATTAGATGCTATTTTTAAAATCGGTTCGAACATTTAAAATATTATTACAATTATTTTTCTTTATTCCATTGTCTGTGTGTGATTCTTCTAAAACTGAATTGACGTAAATGTTATTTTGTGTATTTAATATTTCACATGTCTGCCATAAACTAATATCGAAACTTGTATTGTATGGTTATTTTATAAAAACGTGTTTAGCGAAATTTGAATTAGGGGCAAGTTTTTTTTTTAAATTTTATTTCCGAAATGTGTTCTTCGTGTCTTATTTCAAAGTTTCTATTTGTCTTGCCCATATAGAATTCATTACGGTTACGTTTAAGTTTATATACGCCAGCATTTTCATAAGATGAGAGGTTTTTATTGAAATTTCAAGTCCTATTTTTTATTTGTTTGATTAAATATTGTTGTTAGTGTTAAAACGGATTTTTACATTATTTTGCATTATTGTTCAGAATTTTAGCGAATTCGTCAGTCATATTATTTTGATATTTCATACTACAACATTATTTGGCGAATTGTGTATTATTTTTTCTTCAATATGTTTCTAAATTTTCTTTTGAATAGTATTTAAATTGAAATTATTTTTACGGGTTGTATTGTAGATGATATTGAGCTCGTGTAATTTTTTTTATGTGTATTCCTTCATTTAATTTTTTATATTCATTCGCGTTTTACATTTTGACTGTAATATACTGTGATGATGAATTTTTAATTCGAAATCGGCCGTATAGTACAATTATCATAATACTCCAGGCGGCGCATCCGTTCATTTATTAATTTTATTTTCATATTTATATCTTTATTTACTACAATTACTATATTGGTTTTTTTTTTACTCGTTTAAAGTTGGCGTTTCAAAACACGTTTAACCCAACTATTTACCGTCGCGGTACAAATATAAATTAAACGATTCTATTCATCCCACTGTCCCTAATTCCCCGCCTACAATAGCGACACACGCGCACATTCTTTCGTGATGAGATTGTTCAACGACTCGAGGACGTATTTTACGAATATTGTATAATATCTTAAATTGATTTTATGCGGTTTCGACGATTTTTTATTATTATTATTATTATTTTTTTTTTTTAATTCTTTACGATTTTTTTTTTTTAAGTGCTTTTATTTTTTTTTTCTTTAACAACCGCCGTGCATATTATCGTATCGAAAAAAAAAAAAAGAAAATGTAAAAAGTCAACGAACATTTATAACGATATTTGTACAATATTGTGTGTGTTGCACAACATAATATTATTTTTTCTCGCGTGCACCTATTAAACTAATATTCAATTTGGTTTATTACAACCGTCGTTATTTCGATGCGGTCAGTTGAAAATAATATAATATACGTCCTGTATCTATTGCGCTACAATATAACCGACAATTCGTATTTCCGTCTTGGTAACTACGTGTGTAAGACGGATACAAAAAAAAAAAATAATAATAATAAAATATCATTATCGTTATGATTGTGAACGCGTTCCTGAGCGATGCCCGTGCGTTAGGTCACGTCGCGTTGTACGACGGTTTGGTTTTGTTTATAAAGGCGATAACCGACACGGTCAATATGTTAAACACGCTAAACGAACAACAAATAGCAATAATATTTGCGGGCATAATCATTGGCAATAAATTAAGACGACCGAAGATAACCGGGGACAGGTGCAGTCGCCGTTACGGGCAATTTAATGTATTGAAAGCAACGATAAACCATCGCTTAAAAAAGAAACGATTCTGAGCGGAGTTCGGTCGATAGTGATGCTTTTTGGTCAACAATATATGTGTCATGTTATGGTGAAACATATATAATACCTACGAGATTGCACATGCATCGTAGTGTGATTGTTATATTTTCTTTGAAAATATTTGTTTAATGTACCTACCGATTTTGTACGGAGACCAGATAGAAGAACCTATATATTCACTCGAGAGTATACTAAAATTTATTAAAAAAAAAAAATAATAATAAAGTAAAAACAAAATGATTAAAATGGTTAAAACTCGTAAATAAATATATAATTAAAAAATGTATACATAAAAATAAAATAATAATAGATAACAGAATGAACGTGCCGCCTGGAGTATTATACGACCGGTTTCGAATTAAAAATTCATCATCAGGCTTATATCACAGTTAAAATGTAAAAATCGACTGAATATAAAAAATTAAACGAAAGATCACATAGAAAAAAAATTCATACCAATTTGCCGTTTTACACAGAAATAATTTATTTTAATAGGAGAGATTATTGAAAATTGGTAATTATTAGACATGGATATGTTTGGGAATTTAAATTATTTGGTTATTATTTACTTTTATGTCTAATATTAATCCGTTTTAAATAATCTCTCGTATTAAAATTAATTATTTCTATGTAAAACCGACCGATCAGTATGATTTTTTTTTTCTACGTATTCATACCCGTCATTTAATTTTTGATATTCAATCGCGGTTTACAGTTCGACTGCGTTATACCTGACGATTAATTTTTAATTCTAAACCGGTCGTATAGTACAACCATCATAATACTCCAGACGACGCATTCATTGTTCTGTTTATTATTTTTTTAATTCTTATGCGTACATTTTTTTATTTGCATATTTATCGACCGTCTTTGTGATTGACCGCGACCAAAACGCTTTGGTCCGATACGTTTTCGCACAACCGACAACGACAACACAGAACCGAACGGCGAACAGTGTAATGTCGATCGGCGGGTATCGTCGACCGGTGTTTAACGTCCGACTTGCCCGGATTCGTACGGGCTATTAAGAGGTTTAAGAGGTTAGTAGGGGGGCGACCCGAAATTTTCATGGCGCGACAATAAGAATTATTATCACTTGTTTACCGCCCCCGACGACCCGCGGTCTTCTGGTTGGCGAGCATCGCCGTCTCCCGCGAAAATTCGGGTCCGCGTACGCCGCCGCTAGCAGCACGGTAATTGTCGACCATCGGTCTCCTCGGCCGGACGGCGTTACGGGAAAAAGCGTGGAATAAAATATAGGTGGGTGGTCGCAACCGATGGTCGCGAACCAAGAATCCGACGGCCGGTAATAAACAATACAAAAAATAATATTTTCCACCCGATGGGGCTGAGTGTGCCGTTGCAGCCCGCGAATTTCGGGCCACTCGTGTTTCCGTAAATAAAAAAAAATATATGTATATTTGTTCGATTTTAAAATGTATAAAATACGGATGTTTCTGTTTCAAATTAAATATTCATTGGAAAAAGCGCCTTTTTTTTCGGGGGAGTGGGGGGGGGGTGGTGTTTTAACTGTTATTGTATTACCGTATGTGATATGCCGTCAAATGAACGAGCAGAGTTCTAAAATGGAGAAAAGAAAGATTTTTGTTCTGTCCGCAAATGCCATCGGTCTCTTTACACTGTTATTGAATGCGTTTATCTAAATACACACAATAAAAAACGAATGTTTAATTCGTTATATTCATAAGCTCCGTATTGACGCTGAATAAATCGAATAAACAGAAAATCGAAAAAAATATCGTACGCTTTTACCCGTTTATTTATTTCGGGCTCACACAATATCATACTCCGCTCACGGGGCCATCATCACACATCTACTGTCCGTCTCTGTTTTCTGTTATTTGCGCGTTTTTGTTTTTACAAAAACGTCTGATTGACGTGGCAAAATAGACCGTTGCCGCTACCGCTATCGCTATCACTCTCGTATTATTGTTGTTATGGTATTCAAATGACTAAGCTAACGGCCGTTCGTGCCAAGCACGCGCGCAGACCTAATCCGGTACTGTGGGTGTTAATAAGCGTGACGTCATATTGTCATGTGAAACAAATCCTTATCAAGTATGATTTGAACCGAACCAATAAATTACCGAGTGGTTTTTTTTTTTTTTTGTTAACTGGCAATTTTCTGAGACGATTCGATGCGAATTTGTTTCCTGTTATTTTTAAATTTTTTTTTGAATTATTGTGGAATCGTTTAAGCTGTGTTTTAAAACTATTTTTAACTTTTCACCCACCCTCCGCGTACCATAAATAATAGCATACGTTCAAAACTCAAACAGGAACTCCCCCAATCGAACACAGATTCGAATAGAGAATATTCGCCTAGAAATATTTTGATATGATGCGCAACACTAATAATACGATTTACCGTTTATGAGTTATAAGCATTCGAAGTTTAAGCCGGAGTAAGAGTTATCGATTTATCAATTTGAAAATAGATACGCTATTTATTACGCCTAAGGTATACAGAGTGGAGGTAAAAATTATAAATGGTTTTAAAATAAAGTTTAAATGATTCGGTAAAAATAATCACTCTGTATATACATACCAACATTTGTTTGGCAAATGACATACGAAGTCACATTTAAATTATATAATTCTACATTTTAATATTGATTACATACAGTTTTTTTATATTTATTAATATTTATTTTATTGCTACGGTCTCACCTTTGTTTCAATAAAAATATAAGAGTTTAAAAAAAAAAAAAAAAAAAATTCTGTGTGTATTTTTAATAGGATTATTTATTAATAATTGTTTGAAACCAAATCATTGAATTATTACCGGTAACGAGTCGATGAGAAGAGCACGACGTAGACACTAGTCGTTTCGATTGAACACAGCCATAAATATAATATGTGTTTCCTTTGGTACTCGTCCTCTGCAATCTATTCCGGCGGCGAGTCCTGCGGGTCTTCGTCGGACACGTCGAAAACTTTTTCACAGACAGTCGTCTATAATAATTTATGTCCGCCGCACCAATCTATTATACGTATAAAATGATTTGTTCGTACAGGGAATGACATTGTTCTGGACTTATTATTATCGAAGTTTCGACCTACTACAAGGTTTATATAGGATTGCGTTCGTAGGAGTTTGAAGGCAAGACTTTGTGGAATTCGAAAATTCGAACTCCGAGAGGTGTTTTTTTTTTTTGTTGATACAAGTTAATTAATTATCATTTACTAATGGCGTTTAAACGTGTATTATCGGGTGATAAATTTCACTCCGAGCGAAGTTACCTATTTAAAGGACGTCCCGGCGTAATGGTCGCGGGTTTCGTATTTTCCACTCTGAGCGCAACGAGAAACGTATCGGTTTTACAACGACGGCCGTTTTGTTCTTTTTTTCGCGTCCATAAACGAATTTCCTATCAGGAATCTTGTTAAATTTTAGGCGGCGGTCTCTGGTAGCGAATGTCGCCTGGTATCGGCGCACTCGGGAGATTAGTTTCCCCGTAGTTTTCTCAATAACCGGGAGAGGAAAAATCCGGGAAAACGTACGCGGTAACGGTTTCTGTTCCAAATTAGAAACGATACTATTATATATATCCTATCATTATTATGTACGTTATTGACGTAGACGAATTTTTATTCGAATTACATTTGGTACAAAACGGACGAGTCTGATTCGTATTTACTCGTACAAATGTAATCTCGACCCGCGCATTTTATATAATAATGAATGACCGTCTCGTACATTAATAATTTCCCGGAAAATCTCTATAGTATTATATTATGTGCGGTATGCATAGCAGATTTTCGAAATTCTCCGGGGACGGAATTAGTACGACTTGTAAAGTCTCTAGAGTCTGGTAAACATTTTGTTGTTATCGTAATAACAACCGCGCTCGTTCGTTTATTTATTTTCGAAACGATCGGATTTACTTATTGAGAACGCTCGAACGAGCGCCGGAACCGCGGCAATAATATGTCGCGTGTACGCTCCGTGAAAAAAACCGTCAAAAACCTCAAAAACCGTCGTGCGTCGTTATCCCCGTGAAATATAGGGACGTAACACGCGAACGCGCTCTGAAAAATGCACGCGCTGTCCTCGCGGTTGCGTCCCGTCCGATCTCCCGAACGTCTCCTGCGATAATATCGTAACGAACGCGCGCGCACAGCAATCGAGGTGATTGCCGCGTTATTAATTGGGGGAAAAGATCACTCACGGATTTTAAATACGCGCGAATCGCCAACGACAGTTTGGCGCGCGTCGAAAACGTTGACATGATAAAACGGCCGAGTTTCGCGGAGGTTGGCGGCCATTTAAACTTTTGTGGACAATCCGCAGAAACGGCTGGACTCGCGCGTTACAAATTTTCGCTTACAAATGGCCCACGAGCCACGGACATCGACCGACTTATCTGAGAAACCGATACGGCTACGGGCTCGCGGTCTGCCGGTGCACGACGATATCGTAATGTTGCCGTCGGTATACGCGCGACAGCGCGCCCCCATTCAAACGGACCGTTTTTCGCGGTCGGATTCCGTATTCGAGTGAGCGGTTGACTGTTGTCGGAATACAGACGGTTTCGATAAACGGACACATCTGTTGGCGGTGAAAATAAATTTGAACGCGTGTTGTCGATGCGTCGGGTAAAAAGAAAAACGCCTACGTTTTTCCCGGTGCGTTGCCTTTTTCGCCGGTAAAAGGGTTGAACGGGCGCAGTCGTGCCGCGCCGGAAAATATAAAAGTATCCGTACGAATTATATAAAAGGTATACTTACTTGTTACAGTTTAAAAAAAAAAAAAAAAAAAAAACTCGATTCCGCTCAACGTACCCGGGAAATAATAATAATACGATTAGATTATTACGTTGTTGCGCAGTCCTCCGTGGTGCGGTTTTAACGAATATTATCGTAAAACTGTCGAACATTGCGAAATCGCGAAACTATTGTCCATCGGTTCGTCGCAGACAAATTTTTTTGAACAAAGTTTTGCATTTACCGTATCATCGCAGTGTCGGCGCGTCTAGGATATTTACCCACTCCTCCCCTCCGCCGTCGGTAAAAACGAAATAACGCCCCGTCCCTTTTCGCGGACACGCACATGTGCCAAAACAACTTTGGATCCCTTACCTCGCTTTGTCATTTCTCTGCAAAAATCACCACCAAAAACGATTCGAATTTCTCCGCTCTTGACGTCTTGTCGCCCCGTGCGAAATGGATCACTTTACCGGCCTCCCCGAAATGCGCCACTGCGTTCGTGTATCGCATATTATACTGTATGTATCCCGTTTTCGCGGGAATAATATTATGTACACATCGCTACACACGCGTATACTGCAAAAGCCCCAAACACTGACATTTGAACACTATCGATATTGATAGAACGAGACGTGTTTTCGAAAAAGTTTTAGTCTCTTTTTTTTTTTTTTTTCTGACCAACGGTGTTACGCCGTGAATCACGAACGCGATTAATGATAACATCGCCTCGTATCGAAAACCTGTTGTTTTCCAGACCGTTACCGTCCCGTAAACACACGAAAACACCATCGCGATACATACGCGGCGATAGTTTTGTTTATACGGTAGCACACGCCGCGGTAGGGATTTTTTTTTTTCACCTCGCGTATAATATTGTTTAAAAGTTTTATTTTCCGTCGGTTTTCTCGCGGCTGGTAGATAAAATGACAATTTACCGCGCGCGCATCGAAACAACGATGGTGCGGGAAGGACACGTAAAAAAAAAAAAAAAACAAAGTATAAAAATATACACACAAAATCTCTATAATACAGAGATAATACGATGTTGATTTGCAGGAACGCGCACAGCGGTTGCTTGCAAAAAGTTTGGCGCCGTACCCGCCGAGAGTGTCGGAGGCTTATAGTGTTTTTTTTTTTTTTTTTATTATTGTTATTATTATTTATTTTTTTATTATTATTATTATTATTATTTTTTTTTTTTTATGGAAAGAGCGCGCAAATACGATTTGTTCCGCGTGCCGCGGCCAGCCGTGAGCCTTACGAAATAATACAAATGTATATATGTATATAAAGACTACTAAACCGAACCGATTTCACGGTCGTTCCACGAGGCGAGATTACCGCGTCAGCTATACAGCGGTCGTTCCGGTGTAAATAATAGTAATTTGTCGTCGTACGTTATAATATTATTGTTGTTTTTGTTATATTAAAAAAAAATTTAAAAAAAAACCGCGGAACAAAACCGTACGAACGAGCAAAGACGCGACGGAACGACGTCGAAACACGGTGCGTGCGTTAAAGGGGACCGCAGGCGGCGGGCGCGTGTATATTTCAGTGCGGTTTCGGTCCTGCATGGAAAGCCCGGCGAAACAATACGGACGGACAGATTCAAATTCGAAAACGGATTCACCGCTATCGAACATTTTTAAAATGTTCGCATGTTTACGAAAAGGCGTCCTAGGATTGATAATGAGGACGGGAGCAGCCGCTGTTATAGGCAATTTAATGTACACCCGTAAGCAACGATAAACTATTGTTTACGAAAAAAACGATTCTGAGCGGAGTTCAGTTGATGGTAATGCTTTGTCAATAATACATATATGCCACATTTTAGTAAAATAATTAAATAGGCTTGATATAATTACTTTAATTATATTTGTTCAATGTTGGACCGCGATTCGGATTATCGACCGGCTTTCGCGCCTACTAACCGAATCAAGGATTTATTTTTATTTCGGGATAATGGTGACCGTTTTTCACGGGATTCAAATTTTTCCCCTTTAGATAATATCTTATAATCCCGGCGCACAATTGAAAATAGACCGGTGAGGGTGATACGGTATGTATAATTCAGGGGGTGGGGGTTATTGTTAATTATTGTTTTCTTGTTCTTTGAACTATTCCGCTCCCTGTCGTTGATAAGAAATACTTGACAATTAACACTGGATAATTAATAATGTTATTTAATTGTCAGGTCAATTTTATTTAAAATTTGGATTCTGAGCGGAGCTAGGAACGCGTTGGGTTTATAACGATGTTTATTAATTGTTTATTTTATCTGTGCACAGCTTTTCTACCCGAAATTCTGCTCCGATTTTCAAGTGTGGCGCTTTTCCCGAAAGAAAATCCGACTGGGGCGGTCCACATTTTGTCCTTTTGAATTGTCCCAGAGGTTTTTTCACAATACACGGAAATAACCGGGGAAAAGCGTACGATAGGAAAACGGGAAAATTCACGAAATGTATTATTTTCAAATCGGAAACATTACGGTCTTTTGGAACACGTGTAACCGGAATCCGCTCAGAATCGTTTTTCGTTGGCAAAGGTTAATATCGTTGCGTGCACAGACACACGTTGAATTCCCGTCTTTATCGTATTTCCACAACCCCTCACGCACAACGGTGTCCGGGAATCTTCGACGGGACGGGACGCGGCGCCTAAATAAAACCCGCGATACGTAATTCTACGGTTCGTCCGAACCGCGGAAATTTCCATATGAGCCAACGGGATTTCCGACCGGCCTTTTTCCCCGTTGCGGGTTTCACGGTAAATTCGACGAACGGACGTCACTCCGCGCGTATCGTATTGTGTTCTCCGTTCGGCCGGTCGGGCGACGGGACCCGCGGAACCCCCGGGGGACCCCGACGAACGTGCCGCGCGGCCCGTCCTGTTATTTTTATCCGCGGCCCGCGCCGCGAAAACGATTGCGACACGGCGGACCCGGGAGAAAACGGCCGTGTTCGCCGACTGATGTTCTCGGTCGTTATTGTCGTTTCGACGGCGACAACCGCCCGACGCGACGACGGGCCGCGGGCTGATCGCGGGTGCCGCGCCCCGGCGGATGGGGCGGAGGGTGCGGATGGGGCGGTCGGGTGAGGTGGACGTGTGCGTGCGCGCGCGCGCGCGCGTGTGTGGAGGGGTGTGTGTGGAGGAGAAGACGCGCGACATTTAATTAAAACCGGGCGTAACGATGTTGTCGTCGCCTTCAGCGCGCCGAAGAAGATTTCGAAGGATTTCGCGCGTCAACGCCTCTCGCTCGCGCGTCGTACACGAACGATAATAACGGAACACGGGCGTTTCAGACAGCGCCGTGACGTCGAACGTCTGCTCCGTCGCCGTCGACTGGACCGCCGGATTTTTCGGTTAATTTTTTTTTATTTTTTTCGGCGATGGGGCGGCGAGGGACGGGACGCCGGAACAACCGACACGTCACGCAGACCCGCGGCGGACGCGCGCCCGAATCGCCCTGTTGCTCTTGCGACGGTCGCGTTCGACGTCCGATTTTCGCACGTAAACACGGGCGTCGCGCCAACGCCATTCGGACGCAACGGTGTTTCGCACGCACGCGCGCATTTGTCCGCAGGCAACAGCGGCATTTCGTTCCGTTCGCTACGCGCGCATTGTAATCGCGGAATACGCGTATGCGATATTTTTCGGCGTTCGCGAAACGGTTTTGTTGGTTTTTTTCGGATGAGTGGGGCGGGGGGAGGGGTGCTGATTTCGAATCCGGAGTCGCTCGAGCGTTCCCCCCCTCTCCCCCCCCTACACGTCGTCGCTTCTAGTCGCGTCCGTCCCTCGCGCTCGCGTCTCGCGCCGGGCGACGTCGTCGCGGTGGGAGNGGGGGGGGGGGGGGGGGGGTACGGGCGCGCACCGGCGAGAGTTCCGGAAACGCGAGCCGACGTTTTCGACGAACGAAATGTCGCGTCTTTTGACCGCTGTCGCGTATCATCCGTATCGTCCGGCGTGTAAAACGCATTGTTCGAAATGTCTTCGGGCCACCGACCCCGGGTGCACGTCGAACGACGCGGGAACGTCCGAGAACGCGACGACGAGGTCCGGGAAAACGTTTTCGCAGTCAAAGTCGCCCCGTGTTTACGCGTTTTACCGTACACTGTATTTGCGTTATTATTATTATTATTGCCATCGTCACTAATACACCGGCGACACGGTCACCACACTGTTGCGCGTGCTACATCCGTGCGGCGTAGACGACACCGACCCCGGAGACGCGTGTTTACGTTTTTAACGCCCCGGGGCGCTGCTTTTTCGTCTCTCTCGAAACGTTCAAACATTCGTGCGTTTAACGATTGGACTACAACGCATTATCGCAATGCGGTCGCACCACGCGTTTGATTGTATGACTGATATTTTTTAAGTTTTCTTTTGAAAATAAAAAATGTCGACCGGGGGACGGGGGCTTTTGAACATCGGTTGAAAATGTTTCGGCCACGCGACTTTGATAAGTTCGGGTTCCTGGCGGACGTTTAAAACGCTAAACAACAACAAACGATATTACCGTCCGGTATCCGCTCGTGGTGCCGACCGCGGCGGCGGTTGTTCCGTGGTTAATTTCGAAACTTAATTTTCCGGCCCCGGGAGAAAATCCCCTCCCACCCCTACCAC